GGGCCCTGGGGATGTCTTGCCTCTGTGATGCCAGGAAGTTGGAAGGATAAGGCGAAATGCGACCTTAGAGTGATGATCCCAGTGCAGCATCCATTTGGTCAAGGGGCGTGGCTCTTCGCCGTGAGACTTGACGCTGTCCTTTAGGGGGCTGAATTATCCACCCTCCTTGGGCCGAAACTTCCTTACTCATATGGGCTCTTGGTATCCGCTTTATCCTCTGCACGGCATATTTAAGGCGGTGAAATGAGGTGACATTTGGAAAATAAGTACATCCCGTGGGGAAAAGCAAAACTCCAAGTGTGCTCTTCCTTGAGACCGTCACGCTTTTACTTCCTTCACCTGGAATCCTCTTTCCCCAACAACCACGCTGAGCGCTGTGCAGATGTCTGCTTCTCAGAGTGCTCTTCCCTGCCTCCTGGGCAAAGCAGCCGCCATCATTATTTTCTATCTTATTCTATCCTGTTCTCCTTTGTCGAGCATTCTGTCACCCAACATGATAAACATGTATTTGTTTATTTGTCTATCTCATGGCATGAGAAAATTAGCATTTCATGGAGCAGAGACTTTTGTTTTTGTTGTTCACTGTTATAAGCCTGGTGCTCAGAACGGTGCTTGACATGTAAGATGTACGAGCCAATGGGTGTAGAATAAATGAGTATAAATACCAGGTTTAACCAGCGGTGCTAGTTCCAGCTTGGACTGAGCCCTGCTTCTCCTCCTCCTTCCTGTGTATGGAGTGTGCACTGTGGCCTTCCCAGCGGCCACTCCGTTATGTCTGTCCACTCTGTTCTTCATCCCGCATCTTACCTCCAGCCACTACAGAGGCACCAGGGCTTCTGCTCTTTCGGAACACTTCATTTCTGAGATTCCTGTTTTGATCCTTCCTGGCACAAGGGCCCAGTCTACCTTCTAGAATATTCCTAGGAGATTAGACAGAGCCTTCTCTCAGAAGTCACTCCCCCACAAGCCTGTTGGTGTGCCTTTGGTTTTCTGAGTTGTGGACTGGACCTGCCTGCTGTAGACGGACACTTTTCTCTCTCTCCTGTCAGATGATTCTGGCCGCTGGGGCAGAGGTGGCTTATTCACAGCTCTGGAAGCACGATCCGCCGAGCCAAGAAAAGTATATGAGCTGGCTGGGAAAATGAAAGGTAAGAGACGGAGTGGGTCCAGGGCGGCATGGGACAGGAGAGGACACTTAGAACCCTGCATGGGGTGGGTTAGCAGGTACCGCAGGACAGGGACGAGCCAGCCGGAGCCTGGCTTCTGCCGCCACTGTCACTCTGAGGCAGATCTTCCTGAGTGTCTATTTTCTGGTCCATAATGTATAGCTAACTTTCCCCATCTTCTTTGGGGCTGTAATAAGGATAGCGGATTCAAGTGTTCTCCCTGAAGATCGCGTCCCTGTTCACCGAACCGACTGTCCCCATAGAGGAACACCGTACCTAGTGGAGGCGCTTTGAAACTGTTCACGACAGCTCAGGGGAAAGAGGGTGTCTTTTGAGGTCACCACAGCCAGGATTACCACACTCCCGGAAGGCAGAAGTAAGGTTGTTTGAGGACAGGGGGGTCTTGATGAACAGTGTTAGCCATTGGCACCAGGGCAGGAAAAGGCCTTTTCTTTCCAGCGGCAGGGGAAGTGGAAGGCTCCTGTGCTCCCTCCGGAGGTGGCTGAGGGGGTGAGGGTCTGCTGGGAGGATGGAACACCTGCCAGAGTTCTCAGGGTCTGTCGGGGTCCAGCTCCTGCTTCTGCCCAGTTCTGTAGGGTAGGGAGGAAGGGGTACACAGACAGAGCGAGTACCAGCTCTAGAGACATGGACTGTTGAGAGAAGTCACTCCAGATCTGGGCTCTGATCTGGCAGCTGGAAAAGCAGAGAGCCTGGGAGAGTGGAGTGAGAGGTGTGGATGGAGGAGTCCCTGTGCGAAGTCCTGCATTGTAATCATGAGGAGGAAATGAGATCACAGATGATGGAGCCTGGGGAACATCCATGTAGTCACTGAGGCAGGAAGAGCAAACAGATTGTTAGAGAAAAGAGGGAACTTGAGAATGTAAAGGGAACTTTTGATGTAAAGGTTGAGTAGACCTTATCTAAAATGCTTGGGACCACAAGTGTTTTAAATTTCAGATTTCTAAAAGAATTTGGAATATTTGCATTGACATTATGAATCTGTGGGTTTGGGATCTGAGTCTGAATACAAGATTTGTTTATGTTTCACATGCATCTAATAAGCAACACAAAGGTAATTTCATACAATGTTTTTAAGGCACCCATCACATGAGGTCAGGTGGGCAACTTTCTGCTTTGGTGTCAGGTGAGAATCTGAGTTCAAAACTCAGATGTTGGCGCACTTTGAATTTTGGATTTCTAATTAGAGATACCCACTTTGTACTAGAAAAGAGAGGGTGTGAAGAAGGCAGAGAGATCCACAGTATGGAGACACTGGAGTAAGAGTGAGGACTGGGAATGGCCGCTGGATCTCACCCTTTTCAGCAGCCACGTTCCCTTGACCATTTGGAGGCGTGGGAAGACTCCATGGCGGCTGCACAGACTTACAGTATAAGGGCCCGTGGACTGTGCCGTCATCTCTCAAGAGGATTGGCACAGGGCCCAGCAGAGCAGATGAGCCTTCGCTAGCGCTCCCAGGGACAGCTCAGGAGGGTGGTCGGACTCAAATTATTGGAGAGAGGTGGCAGGAGAGTTCCCAAGAGTCCTTTGTTTGTTTGTTTGTTTGTTTGTTTGTTTTTGTTTTGTTTTTTTTAATCTTTGTCACACCATTCCCAACACCTAATGGCTGAAGAATCTAGGCAGTTACACAGCCCCACACAGCCCAGGGTAGAGCCACTGTCCAAGGAGGAGAGGAAAGTTACATTTTAAAAGGAAGCTTAGCCACATCCTAGAGACCATCCAGAGGTAGTCGGCTGGTTTGGGAAATCTGATTGGGAGAATGGTACAGCAGGGCTTCAGGTGTTTTAGATGCCTTAAAAGATTAGGGTATGTGGGATATTTATCATTTTGCTTCATCATTTTTGTTTGAACAGAAAATATAAACTGGGTCTGTAGAGCCCAGAACTAAACTGGCCCATTTGTCTAGAGCACCAGCTTGGTCTGATTTGGATGGTAGGGAAATAAATAGATAGATGGAAATGGTGAGGGCAGCCTTTGAGTGACTGAAGACAAACAGGAGACTCCTAAGGAACCTCAAGCTCAGAACTCCCCTGCCCTATTCCTCTGCCTTTTGGAGTCACCGTGATGGCCACGGCGCACTAGGCTGGTAACCACGTGTGAGGACCGCCGAGTTTGGAGAACATGAAAATGCAGGAAGACAGGAGCTGAGTCCCGGGCTAAGATGAGGACAGGTCAGGAGACAGAGAACAGCTGTGAAAGTTCCGAGGGAGGTGGAGTGCAAAACCAAGTAGGTGCACGCCCAAAGTCCTGGCACTGGGGAAGTCGAGGCAGGAGGATTGCTGCGAGTTCAGGGATAGCCTGAGCTACAGAGTGAGATCGTATTTCAAAAGGCAAGAAAATAACAGAAATGTGATGGGATTGAGAAAGTGAACACATAAGCAAGATTCAGAATAGCCCTTCGGGAACTTAATGGTCTTCTGTCTCTCTTTCAAACCGCAGACTTGAGTTTGGGAGGTGTCCTTCTATTTCCTATTGATGATAAAGAGTCACGAGACAAAGGACAAGATTTGGTAAGTAAGAAACTGTCACATATCAGAACCAAAGCTTGGCTCATAACAGCTTCCCTTAAATCTCTCCTGGTGTGTGTGCGTGTCCGTGTGTCCATGTGTCCGTGTGTCCCCGTCAAGTGCTCACTGCCCAGCCTCTGTAGCAGCCCGGTAGCTTGGTAGGGCTGCCACACCCATGGCACGGACCGGGTGGCTTCAGCCCTGGAAACATTGCGAGTGTCGCTGGAGACGGCGTGACCACGTGGGGCAGCGGTGCGTTGGGCTTTTCTTGTCGGCTTGTACATGACCAGCCACCTCCTCGTGTCACCGCGTGTCTTTCTTCTGTGTATGCACATCTCTGATGTCTCTGTGTCCTAGTTTCGTGTGTGTGTGTGTGTGTGTGTGTGTGTGTGTGTGTGTGTGTGTGTGTGTGTTTGCACACGCATGTGGAGGCCAGAGATGAACCTCACACGGCAGTTCTCAGGGGCCACCCACCTTGTTTGCTTCAGACTGGGTCTCTGTCCTGGAGCTCACCAGCAAGCCTTGGATCCAGCTGTCTTCAGCTCCCCAGTTTTGGGGTTCCAAGTGCATGCCACTACACCCAGCTTTGTATGTGGGTTCAGGGGATGAACTCGGGTCCTTGTACCTGAGAGACAAGCACTTTCCTGCCCGAGCCGTCCTCCTTGTCTCGAGTTTTCCCCTGGCCTCCAAAGTTTCCTCTTCAAAGTGCAAGTGTAAGCTTGGATTAGGGCCCAACCTCGTTTTTACGTAGTCTCATAAAGACTTTGTCCATATGTCGTCACAACTTAGGTCCCAAGGGTTTGATGCTTCAACGTAGCCATTGGGGGAGAGACACAATCCACCCACAACAGGCAGGTAGGCAGGCCACTCTGCACGTCTTTTCCAGCGCCTCAGGGCTCCCTTCCGTTACAGTCCCGAAACACCACCCTGCTCTTTCCCTGGCCTAAACAGCAGGCCCTTCACGTACAGGCATTCCTATTTTTTAGTCATTTGTGTAAATTTATTTATTATTACATTTTTACTTATTTGGTGCCGTGTGTGTGTGTGTGTGTGTGTGTGTGTGTGTGTGTGTGTGTGTGTGTGTGTGTGCGCGCGCGCGCATGCAGGGAGTTTAGAGGACAACTTGCAGGGGTCTGTTCTCTCTTTCCATCCTGTGGGTCTGAGGGATCAAACTCTGGCCATAGGCCTGGCCACCAGCCCCTTCTGTCTCTGTTCATTCTTTTTATTGTTAGCAGTCCACACAGTGCTGGCTCATAGAATATGCTCGAAAACGTTTCCTGAGTAGAATAGAAAATAGGATGCAAGATTCTGAAGGTTCATCATTTGTGTTTATACAAAAAATGTGTGTGAAGGATTACACTTTCTAGCCGGCGGAACACAGGAAGGAGCCCACCCCTCCCCTGCTTTGCATCTTAAGTATTTCCTGCGTGCCTGTCATTTGGAGTATCTGTAGTGAGTTCTATTTTTTACCACATCCACCTGATTGTCTCTGAGGCCCAAATCCATATTTGAATTTCGAGCCAGATCATTGCTATCTTAGAAAAGAGTTAGAAACTGAGGCCGAGAGAAGCTCACACTCAAATACCTGGTGGTCTGTGTGGCTAACAGCAAAGTGTTTCCTGTTTCTTCTCTCGGTAATTTCTAAAACGCTGCACAAAGTGGGCGGAGGGGGATTCTGTGTCTGTGCACAAGAACCAGCATCCAGGGACTCAAGCTGGCGGCTGTGAATGTGGCGGTGGTAGGTCACTGGCCCAGCCTGCCCCGGGCCCTGGGTTTAATCCCCACCCAGGACTGCAGAAGAAAGCAGGATGCTCACGGTGAACAGCAGCATGCATGAGGGACCCTATTGCTTTGCCTCAGCAGTTCCCTTGAGGACCTCTGGGGGGTGCTGGGGGCACCGTCTTTACCGGCTGTTAGGACAGAGATGGATAACTCTGTCCTGGGGGGTGTGGCGCCGATGAGCACCAGGTAGAGGGCTGAAATATACAACTCCTGACATCATGTCAGCCGAGATTCCGACAGTTCTCTTTTCCCTGGAGAACATTTAGGAGAGTCCACGTCTCTGAACCTACCATAAAACCAGGAAGAGAAGCCTTTATAAGTTACCACGAAATCATACGGGCCAGTCCCTTCGTCCATTGTAGGATACTGGTGCCCAGGCAGCATCCAGAGGAACAGGGCTCAGCCCGGGGCCTCGCTGACGTGGGTCTCCCATGTGGCCAGCTCACCTGCTGGCAGTGTGACTGCCCGCTCCCCTGTCAGTTGTCCACTGCTTGTTCTTTCTAGTTGGCCTTGATGGTGGCTCAGCACCGCGATCGCGCCAACGTCCTGTCTGGCATCAAGATGGTGGCCCTAGAAGAGGGCCTCAAGAAGGTGTTTTTAGCAGCGAAGAAGAAGAAAGGTAAGCCCTTCCCTCTGCTCAGGATGAGAAGAATTTCTGTCCTGTGTGCTGTGACTTTTGAAGGGAGGCGAGAAATGTGAAGACTCCCCTGGTTTGCACAGTAAACGCAAACCAGGTCTCGCCACATCATTTTGTGTTCACAGATCCCTTTCCTTGTGTACCGTGTCCGTCCAGTGGGCACTGTTCTCATTGTACAGATGAGGAGGCGGTCCTCAGCCTCCTTGACACACATTGCAACTGACAGTTCTTTTCTGAAAGAGTTTACTCTGTCCCAGCCTAGTGTATCTCAGTGTCTGGGGAATTTCTTGACTTTTTGGAGAATTTATGCTTGTTTTAATTGATTCACCCATCAGTCATAATCTACGTCCATCATATCTACTTACTTCTAGAACCTGTGGGTCTTTGTCCCCCACAGAAAATCTTACTTGCCCCCTCTTTCATTTCCTCCCCAGAACATTTTTGACATTGTAATTGTACACTTTTCATGAGGCCATCAGTAATTATTTTCTTCTGTATATATTTTCCACTGATTATCATAATCTTTTCTTTTCAATAGCAAGTGTTCATCTTCCACGCATTGGACATGCTACAAAGGGTTTTAACTGGTACGGCACTGAAAGACTTATTCGGAAACATTTGGCCGCAAGAGGCATCCCAACTTACATGTATCCTTTGTGGTCTGGAAAGTGTGTTCTTCAACCAAGGGGGAAAACTGTGCTGGAGTTTAGTAACTGTTCCCTAGTCTGCGTTCTTCACTCTGTCCCTCTTCAGTGAGACCCAGCTAAGAGGTACTTTACAGCTTGTATAATCTAGAGTACACACCCAAGGAAATAAATACACCCAAGCATTTCTAGATGCCTAGAAGTAGATTAAGATAAGGCTCAGCAAATAAAGATGCTCGATGCCAAGATGGCCTGAGCTCAATCCCCAGAATCCACATAGTTGAAGCAGAGAACTGATTCCTGCAAGTTGTCTTCTGACCTGCGCACGCACGCACGCACGCACGCACGCACGCACACACACACACACACACAAATAAATACACTTAATTTTTTTTTTTTTTCATTTAAAAAGGATATATGGTAGCTGGGTGTGGTGGCACACACCTTTAATCCCAGCACTCAGGAGGCAGAGGCGGGCAGATCTCTGTGAGTTCGAGGCCAGCCTGGTCTACAAAGTCAGTTCCAGGACAGCCAGGGCTACACAGAGAGACCCTGCCTTGAACAATAAATAACAATGATGATGATAAAAGGAGAGCGGGGAGAGCTAACTGAAACACTGCCGTTTGGTGACATCTTTTCTTGTCACTTCTCTCGAGACCCTGCAGGTCTGTGGTGGAGGCCGAATTTGAAGACCTTCATTCTGCTCACTACGCTAAGTTAACTGAAACAAGTGAAGTCTTTTATCCTAGAGCCTTGGACGTGTTCCTCTTTGTGTTTTGTTTTAACTGTGGTGCTGGGGATTGAACTTGGGTCTTACACGTGCTAGGAAGGCTCACTTCCACTGAGCTACACCCCTGCTTCCTTCTGAAGTACTCTTAAGAGGCAGTGTGAAATCCATTGTGAACTTCAAGTCCCCATTTACATTTGCTAGACTGATCGTTTTTCTCAAGACCTGGCTCTATAGGTCAGCATTTTTGAACTGTAAACTAAACTGCGTCCAAAATGGCTAGAAACAGCAGAATTAACCTCCAGGCTCTAATGTACAGAAGCTGTATCTTTTTACCTAGGTCCTTACTGAATTATGTACTCTCCGTGTGGTCTCAAAAGCATTTATGTCCCTATAAAACCTTAATACAGAAGCCACGTTTTATGTGCTTGCCCAATGTCAAGAATGTTAGTAGACCACATAACAATGACAGTCACAAGTTCTAACAACAGCAGAGTGTTTCTAATATGAAGAGAAGGGGTTAAGACACAGGACCTCCACAGTGTTTGAAGTGATTACCTGAGAACTGGTAGTCGGGTAAAGCTGAGTTAGAGCGATGAGCTGTGTCTTCCTTAAACATCTTTGCAGATACTACTTCCCTAGAAGCAAGGCTGCTGCCTGCCATTCACAGTCTGCATCCCCCTCCTCAGCACCGCCGGTTCCGTGACAGTCAACCCCGCATTGGATCCAGTTTTCAGCAACCAGCTAGTAAATTCATGCCCCAGAGTGACTGTTAGTCTTCAGGAACCAAGGCTGTCCTCGGCTGTGTCCCCTGCTCTGGAACCTCTGAGATGGTCTTTTCTGAATTCTTATTTTGTTCCCCTGGAATTGTTACTGTGATCCAGTACCTGTAATACAGGAATGCACAGCTTATTTGGGGAAGTCCTTTGACTTCAGATTGCATAACTCTGTATAATAATAAATTTTCTATCATTAATAGTTACATCGGTTTCCCCCCACCCTGGATTTAGTTTTCTTACCCTCCACCAGACTGATTTATAAACGGAAGGACTGGCTGTGTGGTTAAGGAGAGCCGAGTAATGACAGGACAGGGCGGCCCTGGAGGAAAGTAACCACTTCAGCCAACTCAGGCCTTCAGAGACAACATAATCACAATATAACCTTGAATGCAAACACCCTTAAACCAAAGAAAATGCAGATTGACTGGATCGAAAAAACTTAAGTCCAATAACATGTCGTCATCATCAAGGCTAAACTTGGGAAATACACAAATACTTGGAGATCGAACAACATGCTTTTGAATGAACAGTGGGTCATTAAAGAAATCAGGAGAGAATTTTAAAAATTACTAAAAATCAAATGAAAGCACAATCTGCCAGAACCTTTGGGATGTAACCAAGTCAGTCCCAAAAGAGTATAGCTATTAGATGGTCAGAAAGATTTCAAACAACCTAGTGACGTGCCTCAGGCTCTAGTAAAGATTATGGCAGAAATGAACGAAACAGAATAGACACATAGAATTAGTCAAAGAGCTATTTCTTTGAAAACATAAATGAGTGACAGACCCAGAGCTAAACTAACCAAAAGAAAGAGAAGACCAAAATTGATAAATTTAGAGGTGAAAGGGGAATTGTGGGCTTGGGAAATGGCTCTGTGAGTGCTTGCTTGTTCTGCAAGGGGAGAACCTGAGTTCAAATCCTCAGCAGCCATGTAGAATGGCAGCCACAGCTGAGCATGTTGGTAACTGGGATGTGGAGACAAGCAGATCGAGAGAGCTCACCAGCCAGCCAGTCCAAAACGTTGAGATTAACATCAATGAAAAACCCTGTCTCAAGGCACTAAGGTAGAAAAGAATAGAGGCAGCCACCCAATCCCCTGCTCCGATGGTCATGTGGGTGCGCATGGGCATACACACCTTTACACTCCTGCTCACTTACACATTTTGCTAAAATTTCTTCCTAGGGGAGATGTAAACAATGTCTATCTTCCTCCTAAGGTTCCAGTTCCATTCTGGAAACCAGTGAGTTTATTGGATTTACAGGGCATAGGAATTTACCTAACCAAGGAGGCGAAAGATCCCTATATCCTTAATGAAAACATTAAGACACTGAAAAAAGAAAGTGAAGACACTAGACGGTGGTTCTCCACATGTGGGTCACAGCCCCTTTAGGGGTCGCATATCAATACTGCATATCAGATATTTGCTTTACAATTCATAAGTCACAAAATTACAGTTTCAAAGTAGCAATAAAATGATTTTATGGTTGGGGGTCACCACAGCATGAGGAACTGTGTTAAAGAGTTGCAGCCTTAGGAAGGTTGAGAACCACCGCTCTAGACCGTGTAAAGAACTTCCATGCTCCTCGATGAGCAGAATTAATATTGTGAAAATGGCTCTACTACCCAAACTTATCTATGGATTCAGTGTAATCCCTATCAGAAATCGAAGGACATTCTTCACAAAATTGGAGAAAGCAATTCTAGAGTTCATACAGAAATACAGCCAAACCAATCTCAAGTAGAAAGAACAGTGCCAAGGTATCATAGGAACTGCTGTCAAACTAGACTTAGCAGGTTGTTGTAATGCACGCCTTTAATCCCAGTACTTAGGAGGCAGAGGCAGACAGTCGCTGTGAGTTTGAGGCCAGCCTGGGCTACATAACAAGTTCCAGGCCAACCGGGGCTTGATAGTAAGAATATGTCTTAACAACAAAACTATACTACAGAGTCATAGTGATGTAGATAATATAGTACTAGAATAAAACAGGCATGTATAACTTGGTAAGTGGAACACAAGAGAGAAAATAAATACCCATGAATAAACCCACATGGCTATGGCCACCTAATTCTTAACAAAGTTATCAAAACATGCTAGAAACACGACAGCCTATTAAATAAATGGTGCTTGCAAGACTGTATTTCCACATGCAGAAAAATGAGTTTAGATCCACATCTCTCACCTTTAAGAAAATCAGTTCAAAGTGGACCAAAAAGCTTGATTTAAAACTGTAAATGCTGAGCCAGGCATGTTGGCACACACCTTTAATCCCAGCACTTGAGCGGCAGAGGCAGGCGGATCTCTGAGTTTGAGGCCAGCCTTGTCTACAGAGTGAGTTCTAGGACAGCCAGGGCTGTTACACAGAGAAACCCTGTCTCCAAAACAAAACAAAACACCTGTAAATCCTGAAATATCTAGAGGAAAAAAGGAGAAATACTTCAAGATATAATATATATATGGAAATTATATATATATTTTATATATAAATTTATATGGGAAATAAAATACACACACACACACACACACACACACATATATATATGTGTATATATATATATATATATATATATATATATACATATATATATGGATGGAAAAATTTTTGAGTAGAACTCCAACAGCACAGGACTGACAGATGGGATTACATGATGTTAAAATGTTTCTACATAGCAAGAGAAACTATCAGCAGAGCAAACAGTCTACAGAATGGAAAAGAAGCTATATTTAAGATGGGGTAAAACAACTAAAGAACAGCAACATTAAACACCCAAACCCAAAACTGCCAATCAGGAAATGGGACAATGAATTTCAACTATCTTCAGAGACAGTTCACACGAGCTACAAACAGCCTAAAGCATTTATCTAATTATTCTTTATCAATAATAAATCAGGAGTCAGACCATTAGTAACCTCCTACCTCTTCCATTCTTCCCTCCAAAAGGGCTAAGATCCTCTCTAAGCCCTGCCTTACTACTTCCTGTCTCTCTATTTGTCCTCAGTCCTCCAAAAACTCTATGATTAATTTGGATCAGTTAGTGGCTAGCTCTGCCCTCTGATCCAAAACAAACTTTGTCAGAATGCAATCTGTGGGGCATTTACACACCAACCCCACAGTTCCCCAGAGTTTTCTTGAGTGTGAGCAGCAGGAAATATTAGATAGAAGGATTTATTGCGGAGAATCTTGCAGAGATAAACAGAAAATAAAGGATAGCCTCTAGAGGGCCTGGAACCTATTCCAACGGGCCCAACTGTCTCTGCCCCAGGGTTTTTATAGAGACGCCAAGGGATGGAGCAAAAGACCTCCTCCCCCAGCACAGCCAAGTGCAGACCATCTCAGACACCTGCACTCAGGCCCGTGGTCCTAATCATCCTCTATGCGGACCTGCTGGGTAAAGCCATGAGGAACCCGAAAACGGGCTCCCACAGCAATCAAAATACCAAACAACAACAGCCAATAAGTATTTTTGAAGTATTCAACATTCTTAGCCATCAAGAAGTTGCAAGCTAAAACTGTGTTGGGGGGGGGGGGGCTAGAAAGGTAGCTCAAACAAAAAGCTCAGGTGTGTCATGGGTTTCTAACAAAGCACTGGGGATATAGAGGGAGTAAGATCCCCCTGGAGCTTGCTGGTCATCCAGCCTAACATAATGGTTAGGTCCAGACCAATAAGAGGCCGTGTCTCAAAACAACAACAGCAATAAAACCCCAAGATGGACTGTACCTCCTGAGGAATGACACCCCAGGTTGTTCTCTGGTGCCCATGTGCATATATGTGCACCCACAACAAAACTGCATTGCGATTCCATCTCGCGCTGATCAGAATGGCTATCCTCACAAAACCAGTTGACAATAACACTAATGAGGACGGGGGGAAAGAGGAACACACTTATTCACTGTTGATGGGAGCATAAACTGGTACAGCAACTATGGAAACCAGTGTGAAGAATTATCAAAAAGAAACATGGAAATACTATATGACCCAGCTATACCCTGCAGGGCGGAGACCCAAAACACTCCGTGTCCTGCCCCAGGGACACTTTGCCTGTTTATTGCTACTCTACCATGAGAGCTAGGAAATGGGATCAGCCTAGCTGTTCATCAGCTGATGAATGGATAATGAAAACGTGGTACACATATAGGCAATGGAATTTGATTCATGAATAAAAAAAATGAACTTTGCAAGAAAATGAATGTAATGGAAATATATTAAGTGAAGTAACTTAGGCTCAGAAATAAAGATAAAACATGTTAGTTCTCATGTGGATCCTGTCTTCTAATATGTATCTATGTGTATGTATGTATGTGGGAATGACTGAGTAGAAGACATGAAACTGGAAGTGTCCATGAGAAACACCAAGGAAGAAGGATGGAGAGGGTGGTCGAACATGTGTGAAGTGAATGTCAAAAGGGAAACACCGGGAAGGAAGATACAAGCCGGGAATGGGGAGCAAGGGGGTGAGAGGTAGACATGGTGCGGGAATCAATTAAAATGAAGTATGCATGAAAATGTCATAGGGAATCGTGTTGCTTTGTATACTAATTAAAAAATAAATTTAAAAAATCCATCTTAATAGTTTACCAGTCATCAGAGCATCAAATTTATCTACCAACTGAGTGCATTTCTCTAGACTTTTGAAGAACTATTAGTTTTCATTTAGTCCTTGAGAATTTCATGTATGTATACAGTGATTTATGATTGTATCTACCTACTGGAAAGTGCTGAGAGCTTAACTCCGGCCAGAGCTAGACTAGTAAAATTGTTACTCGGGTTTATATAGAATCAGGTGGGCTCTGATAGTGTGTATGTGTGTGTGTGCATGTGCGTGCGCAAATGAGGTATGAATAAAGACCAAAAAAGAGTTATCAAGCCCGGGAATGGAAAGCAAAAGCCCACCAAAATCTGGGACAGTTATCAGTCAGGAACTGATTGGGACGGTGGAAGGGGAAAGGCACACGACCCCAGCCTTCCGACAGTCACAAGGTGAAAGCAGCCTGTTGGCTGCAATGAGGTATTAGTGTGTGTGTGAGTTTGTTTTCAGCTGCCAGTGGCCTTCACTCCCAGCTGACACAGCCAAAGTCCTGATCTCTCCCCGGGCCCATCCTTTAGATGC